TGCAGCTAAAGATAAACGCATGGATGAGTTTCTCTAGATCTCGTTGAGACATCAGTCCTTTAATCCTGGAGATGTTGTTTTAGGTGATAGAAGGCCGACTTTGTAACTGTCTTTATGTGCTCTGAAGGTTCAGGTCAGAGTCCATCACTACTCCCAGGTTTCAGCCTGATTGCTGGTTTTCAGTCATAATAACTGAAGCTGTGCATCGACTCTAGATCTATAACTCTAGATCTATAACTCTAGATCTATAACTCTAGATTGTTCCTCTTTAGGTCCAAAAATAATAACTTCAGTTTTGTTTCTGTTTAGCTGGAGAAAGTTTTGGCACATCCACACATTGATCTGTTCTAAGCATCTATTCAGTGATTGGATGGGTTCAGAGTCACCTGGTGACATCGTGATGTAAAGCTGTGTCTCATCCGCGTAGTTATGGTAGCTAATCCTATTTCCTGTTATAATCTGAGATAGTGGGAGCATATAAATATTGAATAATAGGGGTCGGATTGGGCCTTGGGGAACCCCCCATGTGACCTTTGTCTGCTTTGATGAGACGTTTCCAACTGAAACAAAGAAATCCCTGTTCTTTATGTAAGATTCAAACCAGTTGAGCACTGGACCGGAGAGTCCGACCCAAGTCTCCAGTCGATTCAGTAAAATGTCGTGGTCAACAGAGTCGAAAGCTGCACTGAGGTCCGACAGAACCAGCACTGTGGTTCTCCCACAGTCTGTATTTATGTGGATATTATTGAACACTTTGACTAGGCCGTCTCTGTGCTGTGGTAACCACGGAAACCAGACTGGAAGGAGTCAAAGTGGTTGGTTATAGTTTGGAAGCTTTTTAACGGTTGAAACTTTTTCATTAATTTTGCTGGTGAATGGGAGGTCAGAGGTCAGAGGTCGACCTGTAGTTCTGCAGTAGTGATTTGTCCAGGTTGTTCTTTTTTATCAGCGGTTTGATAAATGATGTTTTCAAAGCCTGAGGAAATTGATGACTTTACTATTTGGATCAGATCATTTGTAATGACAGGGGGGACTTTCTTAAAGAAATGTGTGGGTAGGACATCCAGACAGCGGTAACTTCAGATTAACTGAAGGTTTTATAATTAAGTAGTTGAAATTGGGTCATTTTTCCTGCATTTGTCCACAGTTCTTCTACAAATCCACAAAACACATTAGCTCAAAAGGAAAAGTTGCATTTAATAACATTTTACACACAAATCTCTAGTTTACTGATGTGTCTGTGCAGAATTAGTTGATTTCAATAAAAAGGTTTTTGGATCCAGTGCTGTGAATCATGGTGGTGTCAGGGCAGCTTCTGATCTGTCATTTTATTCTTCCTGTTATGTTGGAACCGATCAGTGAGCGGATGAACTGACATTTTCTCCGGAGGCCAACAGCTGCTGAAAATAGCTGCTCTGGTTCTATTGTGTGAAGGAACGGCTTTATGCTCAGCATTGTTCGCTGATGTGAGGAGAGAATGTTCATATCGTCACCTGACTGACACACACACACACACACACACACACACACACACACACACACACACACACACACACACACAAGCATGCACACACACACAAGCATGCGCACACACACACACACACACACACACAAGCATGCGCACACACACAGCCTCTTTTTATTAAAAATCCTGATTTATAAAACATGTAAATGTTGATGCATAAACCAAGGTTTTGTTGTGTGATGAGCTAAAATGTAGCCGTTCTCATTAGTTTCTACCTTCCAGCAGCGTTTTAATCATTTTAAAAGAAGCATTTTTATTTTTGTAGAAGTTTATACAATCTGAAGAAATATAAATAATCCAAATTATAATTGATTATTAGAGACTGAGCAGTTTTCATCTAGTTTGTTGGTCAAATATCTTATTACACTTAAAATAAGACCAAACTAACTGACAAGTTAACCATGATTCACCAATCGCTTTAGCTTTTGGATTTGCGATATTGATCATATTGATTCTGCATCCTATGAAGTCACAACTAATGATTGTGACTCAGTTTGTTGTGCAGCCTTGGTCCTGATAACAACGGGAAAATGGGTGTAAATAAATCTAAACTCCAGATCAAACTTTTAACCTAATCAGACTTTTGCTTTTGCTCCTGCTTGCAGGCAGAATGAGGTTCTTTGGAGAGAAGTGGTCTCACTGAGACAGAACCACACACAGCAACAGAAGGTCATGAACAAGGTGAGTTCACTTCTGAAAACAAAATGTGATTCAAACGGGATCAAATAAAACAAATTCATGAAAATCCTAATCCGTAGTTTGAGATCAGAAATGATTTCAACACTTGGATCAGAGGTGCAGCCATGTGCTTTTTGAAAAAAAGATCATGTATAATTTCTGATAAATATTATAGCAAATTTGTTGTCTTACTTAAAGAAACACTATCTTACTTAACTTTTACTAAAACAAGATCAATTGTCTTTTGCGGTGTCGATATTTGTGAAAAACCAAAAACCCCCAAAAGAAAAACAATGAAATAAAAAATCTTATGGCTACTTTATGTTGTTCTCTTGCGAAAATTCAACAAAATTATTCCACAGAAAAGATTAGCAAAAACCTGCTCTGGTTATATCTATTAATGATAGAGGTTTTGAAATAAAAAAGTTAACTATAAGCTCCAGTTAAAAATGTTTGAAAAGCCTAAAAACTGTCAGAATTGTTGTTTATACTATTTCCCCACTGCTGGTTCCATTAGAGCTTCAATAAATATGAAAATATGATTAAATGCAGGACAATATTTCATGCTTGTGGAGCTTTGACCTGGGAAATCAACTTTTAAAGGACAAAGTTTATGTCAAATGAAATATAAAACAATGTGATGGGCAGCTCATGTTTCTGGTTTTTCTTTAAATCAGTCAGTCACACTCAGAATATTAGATTTTATTTTATTTCATAGTAATGTTTTTTTTTAATATTCTGAAATTCAGTTTTAATTAATTCTAAATTGAATTGTTGTCATTTTAATGCAACAGGTGATTCACACCAAGCTGCTTAAATAATTTATGTGTAAAATGGAGCCATTTTATCAGCTCAAAAGCTAAAACCAGCTGCTGCTTCTGTAACTTTCTGTAACAGTCAGAAGATCTTGTTACATTTTCAAGAACTACGATGATATTAGATTCAAGTTTTATTGATTAGCAAAAGGTTGAAGGGATGGATGGAGAGGACAAAGCAAGCTGGGATTGCTGTTCTTTCTTAAAACCAGCTGGTGGAACTGATAGAAGCTGTTTTTCACCTGAAGCGTTTTGGTTTCTCTCTGGCTGTGAGGCCGAGCCAGGTGCTGATTCATGCTGTGTTTTCTCCCTCTTCCCCAGCTGATCCAGTTTCTGTTCAGCCAGATGCAGTCCAGCACACCCAGCGCTGTGGGCCTGAAGAGAAAACTGTGAGTGAACACACACACGCACACGCACACACACACACACACACGCACACAGTGGCCGTCAACAATAACGGGACAAACAGAGCAATGGAGGGTGGAGGGAAGGGCTGACAAACCAAAGCGTCTAACTCAACGCTCGCTGTGAATGGAGACAAGTGCTGAATCAGTCAGTCAGTGAAGGCAGCACCGCACGGTGTGTGACCTTGTTGTAGTCAATGTGGGTGAAATGCTGGTTCAGCGTTGTAGCTGAGCGCGAACAAGGCCAGGATGAGAAAGGAGAGGCACGCCCAAATACAAAAGTGACAAAAAAAAGAAAAAACGATATCCAGGTCTGTTTGGTAGAAACATACAGGCTTTCTCTCTTTCATCTCTATAAAATCCATATTTCTTTTGTGACTTTCTGAATTAGTCACAATGTGTGAACCATCTGAAGAGGTTTAACCAAAAAACAAGAAGATCTGAAGTCTTAAAGGGGCAGTGTTATGGAAAATTGGCTTTTTTGAGCTTTACATCACGCTATAAAGTTATTCCCTCATCTAAAACAAACCCTAAGTGTTGCCTTGATTATTTCCTGCATGTTTGAGGAAGTCTTTTAATCTCCATGGCAACCATTCAGCTGTGCAAAACACCTGGTTGGACCTAACCCCGTCTTCTCAAAGACCTTCTGCCTCACAGAGCAGCACTCCCTGGTCACTGTCCCACTCAGCTCCTTCAGACTAGCCAACAGCAAATAGCAAACACCTGTTGGAACTGTACATTAGTGAAACTTTTCATACCAGCTGGTTCTCTGTTAAAACATTGTTAAAGATGGGTTAAATAGATGAGCCATGTTGTGATGATATCCTGCAAGAGCAGGAGTTTTTAAAGAGACGGAGACACAATTTCAAGGCATTAAATTGCAAGGTTAAGTCATATTTGATATACATAGCATTTTTATAAGCATAGCTACCTGACATGATTTTTTTTCTCAATTGTTCTTTTTTTTATTAGACTGGAGCCTTTTTGCAACCTTTTAAATTGAAATTCAGACAAGTTCTATTGAATCTATATTCTTACACAGAATCAGGTTGGTTTCTATGGTTCTAATTTCCTTTAATAATTAAATCACTATATTAAAGCTGCATTTCACATTGTCTCAGGCTACATTTGTGGACGAGTTTAAACATTTTTGTTTGATTTAAAACGGGGGGAAAAAAAGCAAAAATAGAAAAATATTTTAAAGAGGATGAATACAAAATAATAAACTTAATCTGAGTCACTGATTGAGCAGAAAAAGTCCCTTAAAGAGTAACAACACCTTTTTGAATTGAATTACTCAAGCATTGTCTGATTTTGATGCCAGAAAACAAGAAGCCAAACATCTGGGTTCAATAATTACATAAATGACTTTTCAAACAGTAAATATCGAGCTTTAACTAAAATATGTCACTTCAACACACCTGGAAACCATTTTTAATTCCTCCTTCAGGTGAGAATCCTCCTGACTGAAACGTTTTTATCCCATCAGGCCTCTGATGTTGGATGACGGCTCTCCCAGCCCCCCAGCCCCCAAGTTCAGCCACAGCCATCCCATAGAGCCGGTGCATGAATCCTACTACATCCACTCAGTAAGTAAACCAGCCAATTATAGTTAAATGTAACGAAGAAGCATGAACCAAAAGTCAATAAGCTAGATTTAGATTTTCTAGAATGTCTCCCTGTAGAGTTATTAATGCTATACTGATGTTTTTCAGTGATCTATTCTGCTGGGATCTATAATGATCTAAAATAGTGACCTTCCATGTTCAGAACAAATGTTTCCAGCAGCCACATGAACTGATCCTCAGCTGTAGTTTCAAAGTTACAGACGGGGGTTTCTGCCTGGTTATGCATGCAGGGAAGCAGCTTTAGTTATGGCATTCTGTGCAGCAATGATGCAAATTTTGCAACAGTGTTTTATGACTGTTATAGAAAAAAAGGGGAAAATTTCCATCAAAAAACTCTTCTTCTAGAACACGTGTCAAACTCAAGGCCCGCGGGCCACATGTGGCCCGCCATGTCATTTTATGTGCCCCCCCCCCAGCATTTTATAGGCCCATGATTGATTTAAAATAGGTTTTGAGCAC